GAGGGAGTAGGTGGAAGGGGTGCCAGTCAGGGATTAAGAGGGATGATTGGTGGGGTATGACCAAGATGGGATCCATAGGACTGTAGTCGGAACGGGATCGGGTGGCGTGGTGAGGTCGGAGCGGGACCAGAGGGGATCGGAATGGGATCGGAGTGGGTCAGCGTGCAAGGCGGAGTGGGATCGGGGTGAAGTCGGAGTGGGATCGGGTGGGGTCGGAGCGGGGTAGGGATACAATCGATCGAGGTCGGAGTGAGGGTGTGGGTGAAGAAGGTGCTAGTCAGTGGTCAAGATGGATGATTGATGGGGTGGGACCAGGATGGGATTGGGTGGGATATAGTTGGAATAGGTTGGGTGGCGTGGTGAGGTCGGTATAGGATTGGAGGGAATCGGGATGGGATCGAAATGGGTCGGTGTGGGAGGCAAAATGGGATCGGAGTGATGTCGGGGTGAGATCGGGTGGGGTCAGAGCGGGGTAGGAATGAAATCGATTGGGGTCGGAGCGAGGGTGTGGGTGGAGGGGGTGCCAGCCAGGGGTTAAGAGGGATGATTGGTGGGGTGGGATTAGGATGGGATCGGGTGGAACGTAGTCGCAAAGGGGTTGGGTGGTGTGATGAGGTCGGAACGGGACCGGAGGGGATTGAGATAGGGTCGGAGTGGGTCGACGTGGGAGGTGGAATGGGATCGGAGTGGGGTCGGAGTGGGATCGGGTGGGGTCGGAGCGGGGTAGGGATGAGGTTGATTGAGGTCAGGGCGAGGGTGTGGGTGAAGAGGGTGCCAGTCCGGACTCAAGATGGATGATTGGTGAGGTGGAACCAGAATGGGATCAGGTGGAATGTAGTTGGAAAGGGGTCGGGATGTGTGGTACGATCGGAGCAGGAGCGGAGGGGATCGGGATGGGGTCGAATTAGGTCGGCGTGGGAGGCGGAATGGGATCGCAGTAAGGTCGGACTGGGATCGAGTGGGGTTGGGTGGTGTGATGAGGTCGGAGCGGGACCGGAGGGGATCGGGATAGGATCGGAGTGGGTCGACATGGGGGGTGGAATGGGATCGAAGTGGGGTCGGAGTGGGATCGGGTGGGGTCGGAGCGGGGTAGGGATGAGACTGATTGAAGTTGGGGTGAGGGTGTGGGTGAAGAGAGTGCCAGTCAGAACTCAAGATGGATGATTGGTGAGGTGGGACCAGAATGGGATCAGATGGAGTGTAGTCGGAAAGGGGTCGGGATGCGTGGTGCGATTGGAGCAGCAGCGGAGGGGATCGGGATGGGATCGAATTAGGTCGGCATGAGAGGCGGAAAGGGGATCGGAGTGAGGTCGGAGTGCGATCGAGTGGGGTCGGAACGGAGTAGGGATGAGATCGATAGCAGTCGGGGTAGGGTCAAGTGAAGTTGGAACGTAACCAGGTTGGGGACGGGTGGGGTCAGAGAGGGACGAAGGAGTCGAGAGAGGGATGGTCGGATAGAAAACAAGGTAAGCACTTGCACTCTCGATGGAAAGGGTGGATGGGGGGGATAGGCGGCGGGGCGAGGGGAGGGAGATATGATTGGTTATGACGGAAGTAAACTGAAGGGTGAGTGGAAATGGAGACGGGGCGAGAAGGGAGATTATATCGCTAACCAGTTTTGAGGCGTGATGCGCCGGCAAGAGGGAAGGTCGAAAAGGGGTAGGTCACAGAGGAAGGAGGAAGTGGTGGGGTTAGAGAATCGGGGGGAGCAAAGGGGATGGTGGGTGGCAAAGCTAGGATGTAAAGTACCACATGAGACAAGAACCGCAGGTCCGTGATGCAGTGTGAGCAACAGGTGAACTGTGAAACGAGTGGAAGACAGGAAAGGGATGGGTCAGGATGGAGGGGATGTATGGTTAGTAGAATGGGGGGGCCGAGTTCCTGATTACGGACGTCGATCTGGGCTACAGGAAGGAGTGAGTAGAGAGACCTAGGCTGTTGCGAGCGCTTTTAGATAGTCGATCGACCAGATCTGGGAATTGGCTCCGTGATAACCTTAATTGTTTCATAGTAGCTGCTGCACCGTTGCTGATTATCGAAGGACGACGTAGTAACTTACCTCCCTTGTGGAGGCCGAAGGTGTAGAGAATCTACCTCCGTTCGTGATGCTCGTCTCTTCACTGAGTCTGGAAGTGTGACACTCTTTGGTCACTGTGTAGTCCTTCTTCCTTCCCCTTACTTCGCCTTCCATTCCCTTGCCGGATTTTAAGGGCGCCACGCCCGGAGGCGTGGATTGTTGTGACGTGGCGTTAAGCAGTCTCGCCCCTCCCCTTCGCCATCATCAGGCAGCTTCAAGTTCAAACGATTCAAACGAGCAAGGCGTGCGAAACTGCGCGCGTGGGGAAATTTTCGGCGCGAAGCCGGGGCAGGTGTTCACCGAGCGTAGCGCAGCATGGCACTAACCGAAACGGTGCGGGCGCGACCCTTCTTGAGAACCCCAGATTCTAACCACAGTGTTACCTTTCTGATCATTCCGAACCACGTTTTCTCTGTCTTGTGGAATTGAGTTGGGATGTTAGTCCATAGAAGGAGTTGGATGGGGTGTTCAGGGTGGGGAGTCGAGAAGAGGGAATCCCAAAGATCCGAGGCCCTCCCCCAATATTCTGTTGCCTCTCTACAGCGTATCAGGCAATGTAGCATATCTTCTGGTTCATTTTCTGAACATACTGCACATAAATCTGAACTGTTGGGGTCATTCTTACTTCTTCTGATATGCAGCCACTGGTTAACCGGTAGAGCCACATATGAGATGAGCCATTGGAGGCTTCTGATTTTCACCGGATGGATTGATTTGAATTTTTTTCCATGGTATATGTGGGATCTGACTAGCGTCCTGACCTATTAACTTCTGCCATCTGCTCTTGATCGTTGGGTCAGGATCCTATGTTTTGAGGAGTCAGTTGTATACCAGTTTGAATGTGTATTCCTGGATGGGGACATTCGTTTTGAGACTTCTGCTTCTATCTGGTGTCCAAGCCCACTCTGATGGATCAAATTCCAAGTCTTGAATCGCCGTATCTATTCTGAAGATTGTTTTTGGCCATGATCCCAACACTCTTACTTTTCTGAGAACAAAAGGGTTTAGGACTGTTCTTTCCACCTCCTTATTCAGGATAGATGTGAGGCCTTGCGTAGATGGGGTAATTGGGAAAGAGGTAAACACAGCCAGGGTATCCGACCCTTGCTGTTTATGGGAAAATTGATAGGCCCTTGAGGGGGTTAAATCCTGCACCCTCACTCCCCATTCACCCGATTTCCAGGTTGAGGCTTCGCTCAGCAACTCCTTCCAGCCTTCTAGGATGCAGCTGATAATGGATTGTAGATTCTCGTCTCGTCGGTGACATCCTTTGAGCTGGGAGGCCGGTTCCTGTTCTGTCACCCAGTCCTTGTTCTCCTCGTTCCACAGATGGCTCACTTTCCAAACTCCATGTTTGACTCACGATAGCCATCTCCTTCCTCTAGGCTTAAGGGATGGTTGGTGATCACTTTCGTCTCTCACCCACGGATTACCGAACAGGGGATGGTCACACCTTTTCTAGCGGCCCTTTCCTGAGAAGTAATTAAAGAAAGGACCTATGGGCTTCAAAAAAGACCCTGATCAAAGCAGAGATCAGATGTAAATGGCCCTGCTGAAGTCTGTCATCCAAATGAACCGGGAGAAGGCACGAAGGAGTGTGATGGAGCTCCAGCCGGACGGGATTGCTTACAGCGAAGTGCCTAAAGTGGAAGGACTCAGCCTCAAGTGGAATGATTGCCACAATTAATAGTCAGGAAACAGGGTGCAACAGAGCCATGGCATAATCTGACTTATCCATTACAGACTCTGACTGGTCTGGGACAGCGTTGTGTGTTGAATGATGCTGTAAAGGCTGAAATGCCTCACTGTAAGGTCTGCAAATCCACCATGAGCATGACCCAGCAAATACTCTGAAGAATTCTCCGAGTTGTGAGAACAGATAGAGGGAGCTGTTACAGGCAGCCAGCACCTCACGCTGTCCCAGTTGTAGTCCTTAATTTAAAAAGTTCTTAAACCACTAGTACCTTTGCCGTCCAGTCTCGACAAGTCTTAGCCTAGTCCCGAACTGTTAGGAGGCCGGGCCTGACAACGGCTGCCGTTGATAAGTCTGATCGGCGTCGTCGTTTCGATTCGGCCTCCTGAAAGGTCGGAGGTCCATTATTTTCCGAACCGACAAAGGTACCAGTGGTTTAATATCAATATGTCAGTCTCAGCAGAAATCTAGATCTTAAGGCTCATCTGACGGCCAATCCTCTGTCAAGGAGTAATCAATGATGTCCAAGGGTTCATTGGCCTTTTTTATTCAGACAAAAAAAAAAACAAAAAAAACAGGGTCTTGTGGCCCTGGCTCCTTGTCCATTCTGGGGAGCATCAGTCCGGTTACTATTCCACTGGCAAGTCAAGAATAGAAATTATAACACACGCAAGATGCTTCCCCCCATTATGGTTGGGAGAAGAGTGAGCCTTTTAGGATGCAACTCTTCCTGATTTCACTCTTCTTTTGACTCGGATTTGACAGTTTTTGTGGTTTAATGGAGCCGGTTGATGTTGTTGTTTTCCTGCCAGATTTACGATGAAAATACTTAGCGAGTTGGTCTTTTGGAATGTCAGTCGCATTGCATGCCTGTAACTCTTACCCGCTCTGCAGATTCCCCCCTCTCACCTTCCTCCCACGAACTCCCAATGTTTCTAGGAAATGAACAAAGAAAGGAAAATGCATGTTTGCTACCTGCAGTGAGCTTTATGGCTATGGCTCGATTCCATCTAGCATCAGCACTGTTGCTCTTCCACGAGCAAGTCAAACGAAAATACCTGAGGCAGAAACTCACTCCTCTCCCCATTATGGCTCTTAGAACCAGATCCTGCAGTATCCTCGTATCCGACTCTGTCTACAAGAGGTGGTTTTTTAATTTTTTCCATTGATTGACATCTTACCAGCAGCTGACTTTGTTTACATTTTCACTTTGTGTCTGCATTTTCCTAGACTGTACGGAAGTACGTGTTTGGTGTGCATATCCAGCTAGCACCAGAAGTATTCCATCGGACAAAGATTGTCACAATCGCTCAAAGATTTGTGTTGCTGAACCGGAGCGGATTCGACCTGGATTACATGCAGTCTGAAACATCAAGCCGCCGGGTATGTTCTGAAAATCCCTGTATGCTCACCTCATGAGCTCGGTCCTGGAATCCACTCCCACAATACACATGTTTGAACTTTGACAGCAGTTTGTAAGAACTTCTCTTCAATGTGTGAGCTCATGAGCTGGGTTCTGGGATTTCCTCCCATGATACACGTGTTTGAAGAAGCTTTGACCACAGTTTCTAGTGTCCTGACTCCTGACTATGATGTGCGATATCTCCCCGGTTGTTGCTGGTCGCAATGAAGAAACTCATTTCACAGTGGCAAAAGAAGCCAAACATCAACTTACACAGGAGTCGTGAAAGACAACTTGAGCTGCAAAAGGGAAAGGCAAAAGAAAAACCATTTGCCAAGAACAGTGAACGCAAAAAAAAAAGCTGAATCTCCTCGTCGATTCTAGTACCATTGTACACAATAGGAAGGTCATGACTTTGATCACAATCAAGCACAACTCGGAGAAATCTGAAGTCTGAGTGAAGGCTGGATATGAGAAATGGATCCATAGGGTCCCAGAGTTCTTCAAATTGCCCCCCATTCAGTAGAATATAGTCTTGTCCGTGTCTTAGTCAAAGACCTTTGGAATGCCGACTCTGGAAACCTCTACAGAGTCGGATAATGGAGTAGAACCAGCATTGCAAATAGTCTTCGGATCGTAGCTTTTTACCAAGCCGAAGTTCAGGGATCAAAACTTCAAAAGCCGTCCCTACAGTCGTTGAAAAGCCTCAAGAAGTCCTTAGGTTGGTAGATCTGGGCTCAAGACCCAAATCGAGGTGCCCAGGGCCTCTAGAAGTCAACAGTCAGGCCCAACCCAGGTATAGAAGTCCAAGAGTCGAAGATTTGTTGAGAGCCAACCACGGGCACAGATCACAGATAATCCAAAGGCTCAGTGCAGTCGCTAGAAGCTTCCGAGGCCCACTGGGTTCAGGCACACAATAGCCGTAACAAAATCTTGGCCGTTCAGATTAAGAAATCTCAGCCATCCCGGTCGGCAACCTGAGGCGTGCCAGGTTGACTCAACTCTAAAAAACCTGGGCCTTCCCCAGCTCGTGCATTCATTAGTCCTGCATTGCGCTATGTCAGGTCTGGAGTGCTGCTTTCCAAGCACCAGCGCCTGAAGAAGGCCGATATAGAGAGCATGAGGCTGAATCAGAGACAGAATGGTAGCCATAGCCAGTAGGAGGTGCTGATGCACCATAAAAGAGGAGGGATATGGGATAGGGTCCAACGCTTGGAGGAAGAGAAGCTTACCTGGACATTGCTTACCTGGAGTGTTCAGTCACAGCTGCTGCAGAGAGGGCCCACTGTTTGCATGCGCTCATCATTCTTTATTCAAGACAGGGTTGATGGTGCGGACTAGTATATCTGTCACCATACAGAGGAGGGTCCGTGGTGAAGATCGGAAGGAGCAACCATTGAAGGTGGTTGGCGAGAAGAAGGAAGAACCTTACCTGTTGGCTCGTGGCTATAGCTACCTGAAGAAGAAGTCTCCAAATGGAGGAGGGAGACTGACAGTCATTTTCCAAGACTTCATCCTGTTGGCACTCGTACTATCGAGGGAGAGTGCACCACTAGTTATAGTGAAGTCAAGGAATGAGAGGGAAGGTCACCATAGCTTCTGTGTCGTGATCTCATCCTGACTGAAGAAGGAGGCTTCTTCGGGGGATGCACATTGTCAATTCAAGTTCCAGCATTATCGCACCAGCAATGGATAGGCGTTGTTTTTTAGTGTAGATTGGCGGTGAAGGAGACAGGAGACATAAGATAGCAGATACGTTGGGTTGGCTAGAAGGAATCCCGTGGACATTTTTCCATACCTTTCCTCTTCTTATTTTCATATCTTTCACTGCTGTCTCGATTGGTTTGTTATCATTGAGTTGAACCTTGTGAGTTCATGTGAGATTTGATCGTGAGTTTCTGAAATTGGGTTTGTTACACTGTGCTACTTGCTGTTATGGGGCAGAAGTCCGCACGTTCATATTTTGTCTGTTTGATCAACTTGCGGACAAGAATGTACCATACCTCTGAAGCTCTGAACCATAGCGAGCTCGAAAGCTTCTCATAAGTCCATCCATCTGATGAGCGCTACCACGTGGGAAGCAGCCTGATCACTGAGCCTCTGTCGTTAGTGCTTAGGTTTGTTTGCCAGCAATAAGTCATTTGTTTGTGGGCATAACATATCTGCTTCATCAACTTACTCGGAAGAATTCAACATTCATTTCATCCTTAGCCGGTGAAGAGTACAAGCATCTAACAACTGCAGACCTCTAGCATTGAATGATCGCTGAGCCTTGGTCGTTATTTCTTTGGCTTGCTTGCTTTCAGTACACATCTTTCCAGCATCTCCTGCAAAAGACAACAGAAAAGAAGCAAAAAGTTCCAGTAAGACGGACATAGAGTCAAGCAGCCTAAGGGTTCAGGTCTTAAATCGTTTCATGCAACGAATTGCACAATTTTTTAAAGCTTGGGTCACAGGGGTATACGGTGCACAGTAATGGCTCACAGTGAGCCACTGCGCTCGTTTGTATGTTTTGCAGGAACTGCGAGATGGACAGAAGGAGGCATATCACTGGGATGATGCATCAAAATCAGAGAGCTTGATGGTTCGGTTAGTTGGTGGTATTTGGGGATGGAGCGGGGGGTTCAGCATTGAAAAAGTGGGCGATTTTGGTATTCGCTGCCGTAACCGTCAGGATGGTATGAATTACCCATTGCCTGCTTTTTTTCCCTCTGTTGAAACAGGTCCTTACAGTCCTTGCTCCTTCTCCACTCTGGGGAGCATCAGTCTGGTTCCTTCGCACCGGCAAGTCCAAAACAGATACAATGTATGACTCACACATCACTTCCTTGCATCTAGGCCAAAGGATCCCTCCATGGAGGTGGAATTCAGTTTAGCCTGTACCACCATGCTCCTCTCAGTCACAGCCTTATTATCTTGTACTGTTGAATTAACTTTTTCTTTTTCTTTCAGAACCTCGTGGTTCTGGCTCCTGCCATTCTGGGGAGCAACAGTCCGGTTCCTGTTCCCCCGGCAAGTCAATCTGGAATACATGAGCGACTCACGCACGCTCCTCCCCATTATGGCTGGGAGGCCCGAGTGGACGGCATTGATTGCTTCATTGAGGAAGGATGTACCACCCCCCACCCCTGCCTAAGTTATCCTACTGCTTATGATGCCTGGCTGTTGCCCAGCTGTCTGGCCCCAGTCCTGCTCCTCTCAGCTGTGATGCTGTCAAGTTGGTGTGTTATACTAGAGCGGTCTGGAATATAAGTGATGTTCTTGAAATCTCTACCATTCTGTCTAGTTCCTGAACCCTAAACCCTTGGCTGTGTTCAGTTAGCTATGGTCCGCTGGGTGATGTAGGGGGGATGTGTGAGAGGAGGCGTGGGGATAGGTGGGGTGGTAGGAGACTGTGGTGGAGTAGTGGTTGGTTCTTCGGGGGTGGGGGGTGGGGGGTGGTGGAGGGGAGGGGCGGGATTGAAGGGGGGAGAGGAGTCTGAACTGTTTCGGTAGTGGACTGGTGGTGGGTGGATGGTTTGGGGATGCTGTGTCTATTTGGCTTGAAACCCTAAGCCCTTGACCATATTCTATCTGTATCGGTCTAGTTCTAGCGTGGTTTGCATTCACAGCAATTAATTCTGAGGAATGGAGCCAGGAGAAGCTAGCATAAGGGTTAGGGAACTAACCATCCAAATCTGAATCGTGCACAGCAACTAATTCTGAGGAACAGAGCCAGGAGAGCTTAGCATAAGGGTTAAGGAATAAATACTGCTCAGGGTGCGGTGCATGGTGCTCCTATCTCTACCTCTTTGCTCTCACAATGTAAAGAGTGCAATCACTAGGCGGCTCTCTCTCTCTCTCTCTCTCTCTCTCTCTCTCTCTCTCTCTCTCTCTCTCTCTCTCACGAGAATGAATCTTCCTCTTTATCGAGGAAGATTCATTCTCGTTTGGCATGTATGATTTCGGCTGTTTTTTTTTTGTTTTTTTTTTGCAGAAAGTTGTATGTTTTTGTTGTCTTTTTTTTTCTTGTTCCGTGATGTACTACCAGTTGTCCGAGGCTCAGCAATAAAGTCCGAGGCTCGGTAATGATCGGGCTACCGGTAGTCCGAGCCTCGGACTCGATAGCTGGGCGAGGTACTGGTGGCTTAAAGTGCTTCAAGAATGGTCAAATGTTCAGGCATATATATTCAAGGGTGGAGGGGGAGGGTTTCAGCGAGTTGAATGATTCATTTTCAACCCAAGATTTAGTATTATTATTATTATTATTTTTGTTTTCCTTATGCAAGGAATATGAGCGAGACGCCCCCCAAATGGCGTAGAACTTACTCACCAGTTGTCCGAGGCTCGGCAATAAAGTCCGAGGCTCGGTAATGATCGGGCTACCGGTAGTCCGAGCCTCGGACTTGATAGCTGGGCGAGGTACTGGTGGTTTAAAGTGCTTCAAGAATGGTCAAATGTTCAGGCATATATATTCAAGGGTGGAGGGGGAGGGTTTCAGCGAGTTGAATGGTTCATTTTCAAGTTTCAACCCAAGATTTAGTATTATTATTATTATTATTATTATTTTGTTTTCCTTGTGCAAGGAATATGAGCGAGACGCCCCCCAAATGGCGCAGAACTTACTCACCAACCAAATCAACAAACTGGGTAGATGGGGAAATTCGTTTACGTCCTTGCTGGGTTGCGCACTGACCATCAACACATCGATCTTCTCAATGATGTGGTACATATCATCAATCTGGACAGTACCGGACCATACAATCAAGGCTCTCAACCGCAGAACTTATGGACCGGCGATCCTAACAAACAGAACTGCATTCCGAAAATAGCCTGGCGCTACATTACGAGGAAACCAGCCGAAGGAGGTCTAGGCATTATTGACCCCAAAAAAGAAACAAAGGCCCTACAAGCTGTTTTTGTTTGGGCCCCTTTTTTGTCTTCCTGTCCTATTTTTGTTGCCCTATGTATCTCAGTATCTGGCAAGCATTGTTGAAGTCCCACATTTGTTTACCATCTGGGAAATCAGCTCAAAGCCCCTATCAGACTGTATGGTTGCCAAATGACTTGGAATGAGCTTACATATGCTGTCGTTATTGTCTTAATCTCCCTCAACTTCAGGTACATACAAATATTTAGTGGTTGATGTGTCACTGCATGCGGCAACAATGCTTGTCACATTTTGGGACTGCGATGGCATGAGGAGGCTGCCACCCTTCAGGTCAGTAACTCAGATTGGTGATCAGTCACTCCAGCTTTCTCACTCAAAGATGTTTGAGGTGCAGTAGTTTGTTGGGTGATGGTTCTGCTGGGAGGTTTCTTGCTCAAGCGCACAGTTACAGGGCATTCCGAGTTTCCAAAAGGCCATGCTCTTTTGCTCTCTCCACAAGAGATCACACTAAAGCACTCAGAGGTGAATCCCTGAAGGATTCACCCTGAAGTCCCTGAAGGATCCGCACTCACCTCAGTGTGATACCCCCAGAGTCCATCCCGGCAGTCCCGGTATCCTTTTGTCGCACACTAATCAAGAAGGTCACGAGAAACCCAAGAAGGAAACCAGGCTTACCTGAGCGATAATTCTCCTAGGTCAGGAGAAATCATTGCTCATCAGGGGTTCCTTCAGTCGTACGAGTGTGTTGTTTGTGTGATCAATGACTTCCCAGGGGAACTGTAGTGTGAGCAGCACCTATCAGGGGCTCACTATCACTCTACCAGGGGTTTCAAGCGTTGTTGCTTGATTGACTCTACTGTCTGAGAATATTGCCCTCTCTGCCCCAGCCTGGTCCTCGAAGGGTGAAAATTTAAGATGACCTCCTGAGCTGCACCGGCTGTCAGGTGTGATAAGGGCATGTTGAGGTCCCCAAGTGTGTAATGCCTGTTGGAGGTTCTCCTGATGCAGTGGCCGAGTGGCTGTCGCTAGGTGGGGGGGGGGAATACGTAGGTTGGCACGTCGTAGGGGTAGTCAGTGGCTTGGCACATCGTGGGGTAATCAGTGGAGCTTCGTTCTGCTGTGTCGCTGGGAATCGGGGAACTGGAAGACTGGATCAATGGGGATCTTGGGTTCCAGTTTCCAAGTCATGTGGAGGATCAACAAGAGGTGGTGTAATTTCCCCTGATTAGAAGCTTAAAGTGATTCTCTGATTGTTGATCTGGTCTCTCTTGATGCGAGTTTCCTTCTTTTTTTTTTAATGAAAAAAGAAAAATGCAGGCTTATCTTCTCCTCATATGGGGGACAACCACGTTTTGTTTTTTGACTATGCTATCATCTTCTCACAGTATTGTACCTCGCACTACCTACCCCGGGCAAGCAAGGGATCAACCGTATTTTCACCTCACATTACCTACCCCGGACAAACAAGAGCCCATCCACGCACCAAGGGGATCTAGGGTCTTAGACTAGAGTCTAAGGCTATGGGTCTAGGGCCACAGCAACTACTCTATTCAGGGGACCAGCCTTAAATCTCCTCACTAGGCCTAAAGTATCCTAAGGTTATGGCTCTATGCCTACGTAACTCTGCTCTGTGGCGGGAGCAGCACCCAAGCTCCTAACACCAGGCGCGGGCTAGAAAGTGAGACCCAACACTTCCACAACCAGCCAGGAGGGACAAGCCGACTTTCTCTGTTGGTGAACCTGAAGTATGCCACACAGGGGTCGTGGGGAGTTGAATGGATGCCATGGGGAATCGAACCCACGACCTCCTGTGTACCACTTACGTGCTCAACCAACTAAGCTAGGCCACTTGGCGTGATAAGACTTTTCCTTGAAGCTATTGATGAGGCTATTCATACTGTTATCTTGACTATTCGCAACTGTGAGGGCAGAGCTCCAGGGGGGGGAGTTGATGCTACCTGTCCATATAGTATGCAGTAACAAGTAGGAAAGCTTTCTTTAGCAAGCAGTGGCTATGGTTCTCCCAGCCCTAACTGGGAGGAGGGTGGGTTGTTCTATTGATCAAAGGTCATGGTTTCTGTCCTAATGGAGAAGGTAAACCAGGCTGCTGGCCCTCAGAAAAAGGCTTAAAAAAATAAATAAATAAATTAAAAAAAAAAAAAAAAAMAGAAAACAGAAAAGAAGAAGAAGAAGAAGAAGAAGAAAGGCCACCAGTCAGGGTTCTTTTGTCTGGAACGGAGAGAAACATGGGAAGCTACGAGTTTTCGTTAAACCACCACTACCTTTCAGGCTGTGATGCAAAGTCGGTTTCGTAGCCTACGAAGATATCTTTCGGGCCTCGGGCCAGGGTTGGCAACCCTTTTTCCAATTTAAAAAAAGAACAAGATCATTGATGTCGGGGAATGCCCTCACTGACGCCATGCTCACGCTAGTACTTTCCAGAATGTATCTGACCACTCGCACCAGAATGTATTTTTTTTTCCCCTTCTTCTTTTCATTTCTTTCTTTGTGCCCTGCCAGCGAGTTACAGCGTATTTCAAGTTCTGACAGTGAGCACCTCACCTAGGGTATACTCACACTAGTACTTCTCAATATATTGCACCACTATCATGGGCAGAGTGTCGTTTCCTTTCTTTTACTTTTTTGTTGGCTGTGCCAAAGAAAAAAGAAAAGAAACAGATCTGCCCCCACGCCAGCCTCGGCAATAATCGGTGCGCGGGTAAATTCAGGGTCGGCAAAAAGAGGCTCGAACGTAGTGGTGGTTTAAAAAGGACACTTTCCACATTTTAATATTCCTTTGGGATGGGGGACCCAGAATCCAGCAAGTGCCACTCCCTCACCACTTTTCCCAGTCGGTCTTCACTTCTGATGCTATGTTGAAACTTGAAATGCTTTGTTTCCCTTAGTGAGGTTTCTGAAGCCTGAGGTGGGCTAATGTGCAATGTCACAACTCAAGGCTGTGTCACAAGTCACACTTGGCAATTACACATGATGTCAATGGTCTATTTTAACTTTTAAGGCAGGTTAAGTTTTGGAAACATGGGGCTATTAAACGACCAGTACTTCCTAAAGTCGCGTAGCGTTAACGCTACGCAATTTTAGGAAACGTACGGGCCACTACAGGAGCGCCCAAATTCATCCAACTAGAAACGTTTCTACTCTATTTTTTTCCGCGGCTGATAGCTGGGCCAAGTACTGGTGGTTTAAACTTTGCTGAATCTTTGTGATTTCTTCCCCTTGACAGTTTCTAACTTTCTATGGATTCTATGTTGAAACTTGAAAGAACAAAACAACTTGGGCTAGAAAGTTTCCTTGCCTCACAAATGTCGCCAGGTTCAGGAGTTATTCTCCTCTTGTGGGACGTGCTACTTTCTTATATGAATGAATGACAGGAATATGATGATGGCATCATCAGCTCAAGCATGGTGGTTAATGAAAGAGTGTGTTCTTGACCTACCACGAGATTTACCCAGTACTGTTTCTTGAAAGTGGAATTCAAATGCATCCATGGATTTGTGTTTGTTCTGCCTTATCTTCCAGGATTGAGAACCGGTGTGCCAATATTGTGCTCAAGTTTACACAGAAGTATGTGGATAATCCTCAGGTGCTCATGCCCAAGTCTTCAACACCTTACGCTTGGGATCAGGTGGGCAGAGTCCAAAGAGCCTCTTTGTGATTACAGATGATTCAGACATTCACTTGAAAGCGGCATGGAGTGTAAAGAAAAGTGTGCATGGGGATAAGATCTTCCTTACAGTGATCCGGATCCCCTAGCTTCACTCCTCTATATCTTTCTCCCTCCATCCCTTTTCCCCTTACCTCCTGCTTCCCTGTAGCCCTCACTCGTCCATTCCCCCTCCCTGATCCCTTAAAATCAAAGCCATTGTCAAACCCTTGAGAGATCACCAGGTATGGGTTCAGATATGAACTGCAAGAGGAACACATCGTCTGCATAAGCACATCCTACATCCTAAACCTGGAAATTAGTATGAAAACATGTGATGAAGTCCATATCAAAGAGCTTGTATTCCCTGCTCAGCAGTCTCATGTACCCCAGTCGTGCTTATCCCCATAAACCGGGGTGTTTATGAGCGTTTATCACATCCGAGAGGGCTGCTAATGACGCACGAAGTGTGTATGGTTCCACTGATAGTGACATAATTGCAAACCCTGTGCTTGTTTGCATCTTTTCCACAATGCTGCCATGCATGATGCTTATATCATGGTGACCGTATGGGTCCTATTAGACATAACATGAGGAATGGAGCACAAACTCTTCACATGATTAGTATGCTAGGTAGTGTCCAGCACACGGCCAGGTGCAACTCAACTGTGTCCTCTCTCCATCGTACAAAATGTCTCAATGCCAGGGGGTCCCACTAGCGGCTCCACTCTTCCTCTTCACTATGGAGGCGATAGCCTCCTTCTTGCACAAGGATCCGTCAATAGAGAGACTGGTGGCTGAACCGACTCAGCCCACCCACGAGGTCAGCCTACCCACGAGGTCAGCCTACCCACGAGGTCAGCCTACCCACGAGGTCAGCCTACCCACGAGGTCAGCCTACCCACGAGGTCAGCCTACCCACCACCCTGCTCTTCGCGGACGATCTCACAGTCATCATCAGAGCTTCCAATGCTTCGTTCCAAGCGCTTACGCGTACCATGCAAGCCTTCCAGCTCGCATTGGAAATGAAAGTAAATTGGCAGAAAATCACTGGCGGGTGGCTGTCTGACACGGTGCGACCACTGCAAGGCATCACTCCCGAAGGGTTCTCGTGGCAAGGTCCCAAGACACCGCTGTGGTTCCTCGGTATCAAGCTCATGGATGCGGGGCCTGATCACGCTATGGCGCCAGAGATGTTCACCAGGATGCTCTGCAAATTGGACAACTGGTCAAACATTTACACCTAGGTATTCGGAGGAGCGCTGGTATCTCGATGCTTCCATTTTTTCCATGCTCTGGTATGCAGCTACCGTCTGGATGGCAGGGTCGACATGGGAAGTACTCTCAAAAGGCAATCCACGGCCTACTTGTGGACTGGTAATCCTTCCAGCCAGACCTTTATTCCCAAGGTGGCTTGGGCATACCTCCCGCAACCTAAAGGAAGAGGGGCCAAGGTTCACTGGCCTACAAACAGGGAAGAAGTCCTGCGACAACCGCTTTTCTGCAATCAGTGGCTCAAAGACCAAGCTGACAAACTTTGGACACTTACGACCCAGGACGGACGCTGGATCACGTGGTTGGAGCGGGGAGTCTGGAAGATCAGCCACATATGGAATCACCAGCACAGCCAGTAGAAAACTTACCCGGAACTCCGGGACACCCTTAAAGGCTGCCGTAACCTGCAAGACAATCTCAGCGGTCTTCGGCAATCAATTCCTCCAGAATGGCTCCCGCTACTGCAGCCCCCCCCCACATGGACGGCTGGACAATGGGCCACTTGGATCTGGGAAAGCACCCCGGCAGTGGCTCTGTCATTTGTCAAACGTACAGGTCCAGCTGGGGAATGGGTACTGTGGACCGTTCACGACATACAGCAGCCGGGGCAAACCACAAGCACAGTCACCAAAACGATAGTGGTCAGAGGAACTACCAAAACAACTGTCCTGAGAAAAGTGAGGGTACTGGAGGACGAGGAGTACAGGATTTACAACCCAACAGTGGAACTGCAAGACCTCGAAGTCGACCCAGCAGAGTGGGCGTGGAAAACAACCTCCGGGCAAATGGGAACAGAGCGCAGAACCAGCATCCTTGACTACACAAAACGGTTCGGCTACAGGCTGGAGGCGAGCGGTCAACATAAGTGACGCACTATCTACAAGGTGGAAGAAGCATGTGCCGAGAGGATTAGGGGCCGGAACACAGATCTCGTGGCAAATCCCCTTAGCAATCAGAAACACCCATATCAGAAGTACGCAATGGCTCATCTACTATCACGCACTGCCCATCAACAAGTGGCTAAGCAGGCGACGGTCCGAAGCAGTCAGACAACAGCTGGACGACCTGTGTGCTCTATGTCAGGAAGGAACTACAGAACACCTGCCCCGTGCTTGCTTTCCTGCTCAAACGCGACACAGCTCTGGAACAGAACAGAAACACTATGGGTTTCCTTAACTGGAACACCGCTGCCTGGAAGCAGCATTGAACGACTAACTGGACTGCAGGAGCCAACCCTGCCGGTCGCTTGACAAAGGACCCTCTTTCGAAGACTTCGACCTCTTACGCTCTGCGGGTGATATGGAAGAAAAGATATAAAGAGACCATAGCTCTCAGACCATTCCTGTTCCTGAAGCACGGCAGATGCTCCTCCACCTCCTACAGGCTGAATATCAAGCTGACTGGAACAAAGCAGCAAAGCTCATAAAAAACGACCCCACAAAACAGCAGGAAATCATTCACAAATTTAAAAGAGTGCGCCTAGGGGATGGGAAGCTGGGGGCAAAGGCAACACACCAAGGCTCGTCTGGAGGGTCGCGGGGACCCAGCAAGGAGGACACCACGAGGAAGCAGCAGTCCCGCAGACACCTGTTCACTCACAAGTTCAAATTGTTAACCTGGTCATGGCGTGACAAGTGGGTAGCCAGGGTTTAGGGTTTAGAGCCACCACAGAAAAGGTGATAGGACATACCAGACAGTCGGAGCTCGTCAGAGGCAGCGGCTTGGTTTCTTCCCTTTTGGGATTTCAAAAAAAAAAGAAGAAAAAACAGTTTACAACATCGCGGTTAGCCATACTACAGGATAGTATAAGGGGTAGACAGATTATTGGGATTAGCCTTACGGCTCCAGGATACCAAGATTACCAGGCAGCTGTGGCAGCTGAGAGGGGCATAGAAGGCTAGAAATAGGGAACATAAGATGGCTACTGAGATGGATAGGCAAGAAGAGGTCCTGAGGCGAGCAAAGGCTCGTAAGCTAAACTGGGTAATGCTCCCAGGATAACTCTGGGTCGAATTGTGAGGTCCCCGGCCTCAAAACTTCTTTTCAATATATTGAGCTGTTTTGTTTTGTTTTTTAGTAAAAAAAGAGAAATTGTAACAGGGAACTATGGTCCGCATAACACCCAGAGCTTGGGCTGATATTGTCTATGGCCATATCGTGATAATGTCTGCGATTGATATGACAGGTCACACCTCTCTACAGTGTTATTGATTCTTGTTGCGTGGCGTGTTTTTTCTTTTTTTCAAACATGATTGGCATTCATTGGATTGTGATGGCTTTGGTTCGGCTGTATGCCATTGGCAGCCAAATTCTACACAAGTGCTGCTGGTGGAATTGGAAGGCTATGGCATTGCACGGGAGTACAGCTTGGATGAAATCAAGGCGTGCCCACCTGTCCTCCTGCATCAACCAGACGAGAAACCTAGGTACAATCCATTTTTACCAGTAATGAGCCATTCTTCCCTGCTATACAGGCCCAAACTTCCATTTGGAATGACTAATCGACAAGCTAAGTGTGACGTTCTACCTTTTCCTTCCAGTTAAGCTTAACTGTGTTGTTTCAAATAACTTGGAAGCCCAATCAAAAGCAGAAAAGGGAGAGATGCAGTCTCATCAAGATGAAACTTCAAGCTTCAAGCCATGTGCTAGTGGTGCGTACTGTCGCTAATGTCTTATCAAGCGGATTAGAAACATGCCTACACATCAGATCCCTTCGCATTGAAGTTGCCTCATGGAGCCCGCTTCATGTAGGGCTCCTCTTGTTTTTTGTGTATGCTACCGTACTGCTGCTTTTTGTTGTGCAGTGACATACTGCAGTATGGTGCTAGATTTGATGGTGACACACTATGAATGGGTGGTGATGTGTAACATAATCCAAAGCTTGCAGCCATACCACGAGCGCATGACCCTTGCCACTCTGGCTTTGCACCCTCAGCTCAAACATGGGAGCTGGCTGCTCAACTAAATGAGTGTTATCGGTAAGAAGCTGGAAGTCGGGTCCAGTGTCCCTTACATCACCTCATTATGGTCGAGAGATCCTGAGACAGTGGCATTGATTTCTACCCAAAATGGGAGGATGTACCACTGCTCTACCACTGCTTTTCAAATAGACTGTATCCGCCACCCTCTACCCGATCCTGGCAGAATTGATTGCTTCCCTTGGGAAGGATTAGCTGGCAGATTTTAGGTTGGGCTTTCTACTCTGACCTAACTTCTCTGCTTCTAGCTCAGAAATCCTTCCAAGTGGAAAAAGTAGATTGTTCGTCTAGGCCCTCGTTAAGGCTTGGAATGATGAATCTGAACCCCTTATGAGGACCGTTAGGTCGTCTGCGAATAGCATGGCCGTCTGGATTTGTCTGTTTTGACCACTATCTACGGTTGAAGTCTTTCTATCGAGGGGTCCTTCCTTAGGAGGGCTGCTACAGCCTCCATGACGGAGAGGAATATGGGTGCTGCTAGTGGGTCTCCCTGCCTAACTGACCTTTGACATTTTCCAAGTTTCTGATAAAAAGCCATTTACTTGAACTCCCCCTCTTGTGTCTGCATACAACACCTTCACCCAATGTCTGAAGACCAGTCCTACTCCCATTTTTTCCATCCACAATTGGAGGAAGTCCCAGTTTACCTGATCTTAAGCCTTTTCAAAGTCGAAGAAGAGGATGGCTGCTTGTACTTTTTTGTCTCTAATTAATTTGGTTGCTTCGTTCAGGCATTTGTCTGTTACACTCTTTATCCTGTTAGCTAGTGCCTTTGCTAATATTTTGTCGGCTATAAGCATTAAAGAGCTTGGTCTATAGTTTCTTATGTCTTCTCTTTTCCCTTTTCTATATATAAGGGTTACTACTCCTATACTCATATCCTCTCCTAGTCCTCCCCTTTTGTATGTTTTTTGGAGTAAGCGGAAGAGATCCTTCCCTAGCACCGGCCAGAACTCCTGCCCTAATTTTCTAGTTAGCTTGTTTATGCCTGGAACGTTGTTTGATTGCATAGAGTCTAGCGCTTTGTGTATCACTGCCTTATCTACATATGCGCCTGCTTCTGGTTTGATGCTAGAGCCCAGGTGCTTCAGGAACTTCTCTCTTGCCCTCCTGATGACGTTGCTGCTTCTCATAGTGTGTTGTGATGTGTATAGGTTTTTGTAGAATTTTGCAGCAATGTCCACTAGATCTTCCTGCTTGTTGTGGGTTCCATATTTCTGTAATATTCCCAAGGCCAGCCATGTTCCTCTCCCAGATGTTTAACCTATCTGGTCTGTTGGATTCTCTTATCTTGTATCCTGTTTTGACTTCATAGTCCTTGAGGTTAATTAGCTTTTGTCTAGCTGGGCATACCAGCCCCATTCTGGTGGGTCTACTTCTAGTTCTCTGATGTCTTTATCTGGTCTGTATAGTATTGCTCTTGTTTGTCTAGTCTGTATAGTATTGCTCTTGTTTGTCTACACTTTCTCCTTGTTTTTGTCTGCTTTTCCTTTTGTTTTGCAATGAACCACCTCGTTTCAACTCCCAGATTCAGCATGCATGTGCGAACGATCATACGAAAGTTCACACAATCCAACGTGATGGAGAAACTTCACCCAATTATCATATTATAATTATACAAAGAAACTTCAACCAGCGGTTATGGCTGCTCTCGTCCCCAAGTCAACACCGGTTAGTACCCCACTCTCTCTCTCTCTCTCTCTCTCTCTCTCTCTCTCTCTCTCTCTCTCTCTCTCTCTCTCTCTCTCTCTCTCTCTCTCTCTCTCTCTCTCTCTCTCTCTCTCTCTCTCTCTTGTATCGCATAGTCTCGCTCCCTCGGACCTTGTATCGCTCGCCTCACTCTGTCACTCTCTCGCGTTAATATACCTGTTTCTCCTCTTAAGTTTAACTACCCACGGCTATGGCCACCTTCTTCCTCTTCCCCACAACCCTACCTATGGTGCCTTTGTCCTCCTTCCCTCGGTGCAGGTCTCCGCCCAAGTCGCACTGTTGCACAAACCACCAGCAACGCTTCTCAACTTGTGAATGGACAACTGATCCGGTGTTTCACTGTAGCAGCTATAAATAGGAACTTTGACTTGTTTTTGTCTGCTTCGAACCGGTACCAGTCGACCGTGGCCCTGTCGGCTGCATGTTTGCAGTTCCGGAAGTCTCCGAACTTTCTTGGGACGCTGCTGCAAAATTGGACTTACTGGACTTTTTCTGTTGGGTACCGGTGCACTTCTACCTACCTACAACGCGTCAGTTCCAAACCCGACCCGAACTGGGACTTGGGACATGGTTACCGCATGAAATCCTTTCACTCCCGCCGGCATAATTTCGAGGTCCTCCGAGAAAAATCCTAACCTCACCAGTCTACAATGTTAATATTCTTATTAGCCCTTTCATAGTAGGAGACTATGTTAGGGGCGGTTTCCCTTAGTTCATCTCTAGTGTACCAGCGATCATCTTCTGGTTCCTGGTATGTAAACCGGACCTTAGACTGTCGCTGTGGTCTGCCCCTCTGACCCGACTTATAGGAATCCTCATCTATGATTCGGCCAATATCATATCATCTGTCCATATCATGTGGAATCATAGATCTGCATGAAAGGAACTTGTTATTCTCAACACAAGGTAGCAGAAGCATAGAAAACCGGGTAAGTGTGTCGGTCTATTGATAGCATATGAAGGACCGTCCGGATCCCCCACAACATCTAACACTTCCCATAATCCTCTTCAGGCAGGTAGCAACTTCGGAGAGATCCCTTCTTCAGGTAGGAACTCTTTGGACTTAACCCAGAGTTGACGTCCGACAGCGAACCAAGAGGGCTTGCGATGCTTGTTCGATTGCTCCACCATCTGATGCTGGGCTTTCCGGACATTGTCTGCAACTCTTTGCTGATCCTTTTCATACCATAGTGCAAACTCTCTACTGCCGGGTGGTAGCCTCTGAATCTGATCAGGATTCAGACAGTCAATGGGTCTTCTAGGACGCCACCCCTTGTGTAACTCGTTCAGCGTGCATAACGTGGCCAGATGCACTTGCTGTAGCAACTTGTTCATTTGCTCAGTCTTGACCGTTTGTTTCCGGGTGCCTACTTGACGACATTATTAGTTTCGACTCTCGAGTCTTTTGACCCGTAGACTTCCCAGGCCTTGCCCGTCCCTGTCCACCCAGATCATACATAGTTTTGGGGAGTTTCTTTTTAGTTATTCACATGCACTTCCTCTCTTACATTAGATGTGTTCTTCCCTGTGCCGAAGAGCAAAAACTATTCTTCTGCGGTTGCATGACTGCCATGTTCTACAACATACTGAGTTGGTGCTTGAAAAATATCACATACTAAATTACTTTTATCGTTCTGTCTGTACTTTATTCATTCTGTTGAATCTGTTGTTCTGCCTGCATACTAGTGCATATTCAATTGTTTTTGTTTTTTTGTCTCTGGAGTCCCGTTGCCATGACTGGAAAGTTGGCAACCTGTATTTTAAACTAATTTACTATTTTTCAACTTTTCATTCAGGTATTTTCGCAACAGTTTGCCAGCTATGAAAGCAGGACTGCTGGACAGGGTTTACGCCAATATTTATGCAGATGGAAGCACTCGTGTACTCTCATTCTCTGACCGGCAAAGCCAATATTATCGGTAAGTTTGCTCTCCCATCTCCTGCCACCAACTCTTTTCTTTTCCCTCCCTTAGATCCTCTATGAGCTCCCCTAGCTCTTTGCGCCAACCCTTATTTTCCACTTTGCACCAACCCTTATTTTCCACGCCAGTTGGGGCATGGGGTTCTTGGAGGAAGAGGAATGAGGGGCAATGAAGAAAGACACAGTTGTACCATTGCATGCAGAGCTTGACTGGGATAACGGCCGAACATTCAGAGGAGTACCAGGAGCAGCTCAATTTCAAACTCACATAGAATGGCCTGGTCCAGTGTCCAAAACAAGAAATCCCACAGATCTTTTGGACCTGTACATATACCTGGAACATCCTAATGGGTAGACAGACACACATTGCACATCTGTTGGAGGAAACAATAGCTACCACATATTCAGTGTAGGAAGACGGGGGAAAAAGATCTGTCAGAAAGATGTGGGAAGACACAGGGATGGAGATAAGGCAGAAAGACTAAAAACCAGCAGCGGACTCTAAACCGAAACGACAAATTGTCAGTCGGCTTACCGTGCTAGTGGAAAAAGGGCCAACAGTACAAAACACGTCGAGCAACTCTTTGAAAAAAAAAATAAAAAAAATAAGAAGTGTCGAGCAACTCTTTTCTACTTTTTTACCAGCGCGCCCAGCGGGCTAAAGGCCCACACCTGAAACCCCCCACCAGATCCTCTAACCCCTCCAAAAACATTATGGCCCATGGGTCCCAATGCCCACTAATTTCCTTTGATAAATGACTGAGGGATCTAACGAAACTTTTACTGGGGTATCCTTTTATCCTAAGCTCCCTCCTTAGCGACCAAAGACTGAGACCCATCCTTGATGATGTGAGGAGTGAGCGAGATTCAATGGCAAATTATTACAGCTTTCTTTTGTTTGTCAGATACATTCCCATATTCTTCCTTGGTTCTTCCTGACCGCCAACACTTTGCTGAAGGTGTGGATGGTTAGTGGTCTGGGCTTCACAGCCGAGGACACCCCTGGAGCCTACATCTTCATCAGCTCTATATAACTAGAGTGAGGTTGACATCATAGGAATTTTAAGACCGACCAAGAATATCAGAAAACATAGCACCGATAGCGGGGCGCGCACGTGCACCGCACAGCATATGCTGGGAGGGGCGGGGTGTGGTGGCATTGTTTACATGAAGTTTTGCATTCGAACTTGTAGTGAAGAATATCAGAAAACATAGCACCAATAGCAGATGTAGTTACTTGTTTTATTACATGAAGATGAAAATATTAATTTTACATAATGTATATTTAGTTACATGGTACTGTATTTTTTTATTCAAAAAAATACATATCTTTTTATGTATTGTCTAATATTTCATAATAGAATTCATTCTTTTTATTTAGTCTTTTAATACAGAAGAAATAAAAATAAAATTATTATGGAATTTTATTTTTTTATTTCATAACAATTGTAATATGACAAGTCGAATCTTACCAGGAGATAGGGTGAAAGTGGAACTTAGTCCTTATGATCTTACGAAAGGAAGAATAACATATCGTTTACGTTCCAACTTATTTTCAATTGTTCTTTTTTTATTGATTCAATAGAATGAAACTTTGTACTTAGTTAGCAGAAAACCAATCGAAATTGATTTATGTGAATAAAATATGTCATTATTTACTCATTAAGAGATTTATTCGTCATATACGTAAACAAAGTCATAAGTACCATGGTGTCGCGAACTATCAAAAAAAGAATATAAAGAAGATCTTCTTTATATTCTAAATTAGAGATTAGATATATACTGGACAACAGCAATCTCGTACGTTGCTTATGACTAGCAGCAAAGTATGACCTTCCGGGGACGATGGACCCGATTTGCAGCTATTATAATGTTGTTGTTTTATTTTTTCGGAAGTTCCACCTATGTCAAATATCAGGCCCTCTCCCCCCGAAACTACCCATCGATTCCAAAGTTGGGCATACAAAACAGCTCCTATGACTCCAAAGAGCATGCAATTGGCCCCAGAAGTCATGAACTGGCTTGGGTGGGTGCTTCATTCCTTCTACGCCTCTTGAAGAGTCATGCTCGCAAACCTCTTCCTTCTTCTCTAGTTACCGATCAAATATGGTCAACTGTGTCTCTTGCCTTTTGTTATTGTGTCCTCTGAGAATGATTATTTTCCTTTTCCTCAGTTTTTCGTGTGGGATTAATCCTGGGAATGGCAAAAATAACCCATGGGAATTTGAAATTCCACGAGTACATTTGTCCGAACATGTCCACTCAGTGCACTAGCAGTGTAATGAAGGGGGTCATTGTCCGGGAAACGGGGCGAAATCTCGAATTCGTTGGGGGAGTTATTTGAAACCATTCCTAGAAGTTTTGCATTCAAACTTGTAGTGAACCACCAGTAGCTTGAGCTTGACACTCACAGAGACAAAGATTGGTTAAGGGGGCCTGGGAACTAGCCAAAGACATAACTGGGCTTCCTAGTTAGCTGAGGGAGGGTTGGCATCATTGTCCACCTATGAGACTGCTGCAGGGAGACAGAAGAAGAAGAACAAAACCGAATCATGCAGAAGCTGAAGAGAGTAGAGGAGAAGCTGTCCATTGCGAAGCAGAAGCTTGAAGCTCAGAGAGTGGAGGTATGGCAGGAAAGTGATGCTCCGGGTGATTTCACACCCACTCTTTCACCCATACCATCCCCTATCCCTCTCCCCCTCCCCTTCCCNCTCTCTCTCTCTCTCTCTCTCTCTCTCTCTCTCTCTCTCTCTCTCTCTCTCTCTCTCTCTCTCTCTCTCTCTCTCTCTCCCCAGTATTCTGCCTTGCTCCCCTTTGCCATTCTCGTGCTCTCACGAGTCTTTTTTTGTTTTGGTTGCCATGGTATGATAGTAGAACGTTCTAGTCTTGGTTGCTGTTTGTTAATACACAGAACAAGAGAGTGCTTCAGACTGGCATGCGGTACTCTACTCTCAAGTCAATTACTCAGCAACGAAATAGAAACTGCCATCTGAATTGATTTCCCAATATCATTGTTCTATAGGTGGTCATCAGTGACTCACAAATTCGACTAGTTCAAGTAACAGATAGTGGTGCAACTAACCCTTCTCACTGGCAGAAGACTTGAAAACCATACTTGTGGCACACCTGTGCGGCGCGCTGTGTACTATGCAGTGTGCAGTGTTTTACAGAGAGCACGAGTACAGCAGGTGATAGTAATTATACTACCTCAGGAGGATTTACTGTAAATGTCTTACAGTTAGCATTTCACGGTCGCCACCTTCTTATGCATTATGCGACGCCAGGCGAGAACCTTAATGCCCGTCCTCATATTTCTGCATGCATTTTGCACAAACCCGGGCATTATATGGCACTCATTCGTCCAGCTGCCCAGTGGGAACTGTGGGATGGTGGGACGGTGATTCAGGTTATTGTCAACATAAATGAATTCTTGCGAGGTTTGTCGAATCATACACTATTCTGGATTGTTGCGCGTCTCTCGTGCGACATTTGTCGGGGTAGGGACGTGGTGCGTCTTGGTTGTGGAATGCATTATCTGTGTCAGCACCATTATCAATCCATTGTGACTGCCGCCGTATGTGCGGAAGGGTGTCTAACATTCCATCATTGTGCACATCCCTATCACCCAGATGTACGTGTCCTTTCTGTTCCCGAGGACGTTATCAGAACTGCATGATGCCGCACTGTGACGAACGTCCTGCTGTTTTTTTGACATGTGGGCAACATGTCCTCTGTCAGGATTGTTTTGATGGGATGGTTCGTGCTAGCCGTCCGGCTGAATGCTGTGCTAGCGCAACCCTCCTTGGGTATCCCTGTGAACATCCCCGTCATCCTCACCGTAGTTGTCCCATCTGCCGAGTGGGTGACAGATAAAGTTTAGAAGAAACAGATAAAAAAAGAAACCAAGTAAAAAGATAAAAAAATAAAAAAATAAAAAAAGAAACCAAGGAAAAAGAAAAAAAAAGAAACCTGAGGAAAAAGAAAAAAGAGAAAAGAAAAATATGTTATGTGGGATGGTAATTGGATTATCTGTGGGATGTGTCACTTGCTTTGTCTGTTTAATAGGCTTTCTTCTTCTGTGAGGTTTGGTTTCCTCCGCCTTTTCTTTACCTCTTTGCCTTTTGGCTGCGTGCAAGTGGGTCTTTGTGACACACGGGGATGGGGGCAGCCAGCGCTCAACCTGTCATCCACGTGGCTGGCCTTGTACGTAAGAGGTGATGAACAGGTGGGGCTTTCCTTCCTTCCTTCTTTTCCTTTCCTTGTTTTGCTTTTTTCCGCCTTTGCGCTCCGACTCACAGAGTGACAATATATGCTGATGGAATTTTAAGGCGAGGTGGTTGAGAGGGAAGGCAGAAACGTAATGGTGGACATGGTTATTGAACTTGTTGCCACTTATTGGTCATTTTTCCTGTCCCATCGGCTTCTTGTCTATTTTCTCTCCTCTTGCCTTCTGATTTCACTTCTTTCTACTCTATGAAACTGCACGGCTAAGTGTTGATTCTTGTTTCTGTTGTGACAGTGTTGTCATTTTATGATTCTATGGGGACAAAGAAGTCGGGAGGTAATCAGAGGAATGGTGAAACGATGAATTGTAGTGTGAATGAGAAATTTGGTTTTCGCTCGTCGATTCTCTCTCCTCTTGACAAAACCAAGTCTCCTCTTTGACGACTCCAGTGAATGTGACTTGTGGTTGTTCTTTGGACCTAGAATCTTGCTTCTTTTGTCAATGAGTGTACGAGGATCATAGCATTCCATTATCAGTTTCGAGTCTAAGCACATCCTTCAGCATTGGGTAGATCTGGAGAATTTCAGCATGGCCCTCGTGTGAAGAGGTTGCAGAACTAGAAGAGAGGTTGTGTCATACATTTTGCCATTGCGTGCTCAATTTGACGTTTCCCAAACTGTCGCCCACCTCCCCATGCTTCACTCTGGTCTGCACTTGCCGTGCTGCAGGTAGATGAAGCTGCACAGCAACCTAGTGAAGATGACGTCGGATCCGGAACGTGTAAGGTTCACCCCAAATGCAAAGCAGCCTCCCACAGGGCCAAGTTGATGGGCAGGTGGCATTTGCATTCGGACCAATATGCTTCAAAAGGCGTAGGGCCCCCACCACCTTTGCCAGCTCGGTCGCACCTGATGCAAAATAAACGACATCGGCCATTGCAGATGGTGACGTGGCGAGGAAAGCGAATATCTTATGTGGGTCTGCGTGGACCTGCTGGAACTTCACTTCCCTCTCGCTTTCCTGAGGACAAAGATGATGAAAGACCTACATCTGAGAAGCTTCATTGCAAGCCCAGTCAAAAGACATCAGCAGAAGGCAAAAGCGGAGGGGGAGGAGGTGCATGTGGTGGTTGGATCCCTGAGTGCTCAACACGCAACTCCCACACTGGTCCAGGGCTCCAGCCACGGTTGAAAATGGAACAATTAGAGATACGAGAGGAAGACGCGGAGGAGGAGGGGGAGGAGAAAGAAGGTGGAGGGAAGCTTCAAGCAAAGCGGTTGCGGAACGGATTCTGTTGCACAGTTCCACGACGTGCCGGTACAGGTCAGCTTCAAGTTCCTTCCAAAGAACAGAGCATTGCACCTACTCCCCAGTTACTGTCATCTGCAAGAGAGAACTTTGTGGTGTCCGCTGAAGATGCAAATGGTGATGGTGAGGAGAACAAAGATGGCAATGGCAATGATAATGGTAAGCAGAATGAAGCTGGAGATGGATATGAAGCCCGGAAAAATGGCAATGAAGGTCCAACAGGGGCTAGCACATGCAAGCTGACATCAAATGGGAATACAACAATGGCACAGGGCCAGGCTCACCCAGAAATTACGGCTGCTTCAGAGAGTGAAGAGGAGATTACTGCAGCTGACATGGAAACGTACGGCCAAGCGAGTGGGTGTTTCTCTGATGGTGCAAAGAGGAAAATGAGGAACCTGAGATGTAGGCGTCCCTTCCGTGCGATCCTGGGCAGAGCCAGTGGCAGTGATATGAGTGAAAGGTTCTGGTCTGTGGCATCCTCACTTGTATCTCACTCTGATGTGGGTTTTCGATCAGGGGCAGATCTAGAGTTTCATAATGCTGTGGCAGCTTCATCAGGCTCAAACTCTCTCAAACAGTCAGAGAAACTTAAAGAACCACTTATTGAAGAAGTCCCTTCTGGTACAGATCCCAGAGATGAACACAATACAGATAAGTCAACCATTGCAAACGCCGAGTCTGAGCCACCACAGCAGCAGCAACAGGATTGGGAAAATCATGCTGAGGCATCACTGCCAGATAAAGATAAGACTGGCCATCCCGAAATGGGTGTTGTGGGAAAGGAAGGACGGGACGAAGACAGGAATATTGGTGGATTAAATTCACTTGAAATAAGAAAAATGGTTGCAGGCGATCTCACTGTGAGCATTCTTGAGGGAAAACGCCTGAGGAGAAAAAAGGAGCTCTGCAACCCGTATGTCATTGTTGAGGTTTGTATTGAAGTCCCCAACTAATTGACTTGCTGATTCTTTGTTGTATATCTGCTGACACATTTATGCTGTCAGTGACGCTGCGATGGTCAATCGCTTGTTTTCCAAAAAGGAACTGGCGAAATGCGTTTTTGCCCTAAGACCTGGGCTACCAACGGCGCCAGCCGGGGTCACCCTGGTTGCCCAGGCGGCCTGGCTGGACAGGGGCAATGGAAGCTCCCTGCAAAGGAAAAAAACGAAAATCCAAAAAAAAGTTAAAAAAAACTATGTTGTGCAGAAAAATAAACTGAACAACTTTTTGTCCTTCGGGACATCCGTTAAAATTGGAACGATACAGAGAAGATTAGCATGGCCCCTGCGCAAGGATGACAAAAAAAAAATACAAAAAAAAAAAAAACTGAACAACTTTTGCCTTGGAGTGTGATCGAAATTCTTTACCTTTTTTTTTTTTTTTGGCCCAGCCGCGCAAGTGGTCCTGGACCACTCTGGTAACCTTTCCCTTATGTTGCATCCTTTTCGGAAGTTTTTCCCTGTTTTTCCGTTTTTTGTTGAAAGGCGTCCTTATGGCCCTGGCTCCTTATCCATTCTGTTCAGCATCAGTCTGGTTCCTATTCCAATGGCAAGTCAGACAAGATACAATGTAACACACACAATGGTTCCTTCCATTTGGACGACGGACCCCTGAACAGCATTGATTACTCCAATGAGTGGAGGATTGACTGTCAGCTTGCCTTCCCTCCTTAAGGCTCTTCTCAGTCTCGGCGAGACACCGATATTGTCAGTCATACAAAGAAACAAAAACTCTTGATGGGCCGGTATAGGGCCGTCCCTTCTTGAGCCACTGTTTCATTCTCAACCTGCTGTCGCTGGTTGCCTCCTTCCATACCTCAGAGTCCCCGACTCCTGTAGCAACACTCGCCTCTATTCCCTGTCCTGCTGAGTTATGGCCATCTCCCCGTAGCTGGTTCACAGTTGCCATCAAATTCTCCGGTGGTGGATTCAGGTTGTCCTATTCAACCCTTCAGTTGGGCAGGGATCTCTTCCAAGTTGTGCCGATACGACCACCTGAGTTGCAGTTCCCTGAAATCTCTTCCACTTTGCCATGAGCCAACCATGCACATCTAAATTTCATCTTGATATCCTGGGTGGTTCTGAATGCAAGCTCTTAGGTTCTTCCATCTGCAGCTGATCTCTGTTTCAATCATCTCTTCCATCGCTGCCCACACATGTTCTCTTGCATTTCTCGTGCTGTCAAGGGTGATGCTGCATCGTCCCTTTCCAGATCGCCCATAAGCTTGCTTTCCTTATCAAACCAACCAGACATTTTTGGGCCCGCTGATGTGAGCGGGAATGTTAGTCCAGAGTAGTGATTGGAGAGGGTGTTCAGGGAAATGGCCCAGAGGTCACTAGCCCTTTCCCAGTATTCAGTAGCTTCCTAGCAATTAACTAGACAACGTAGGATGTCCTCCTGAGCCTTGTCTGAACTGCCCGGATTGAATTTTCTCCTCCTTGTGTAAAGCCATACATTCACTGACAGGGCTATATATGCGTTCAACCAATGAAGACTTCTAATCTTCATCCGCCTTAAGGATTTATGCCGTTTCCATGGGATCGCTATCTGAAATATATGTTTCGGGTTCTCCCAGAACCCTCAGTTTACTTAGATGGAACTTCCAGGGTTCCTTCCTCCGGTCTATGTTCGTCATCGTAACCTTGCCTACTTGATCATAGAGGAGTGGAAAGGATGTGAAGGCGACGGCCTGGTAGGCTGCGTTATGCGACCTACGTGAAAATTTGTAGGGTCTAAGAGGGTGGGTATCCTGAATTAGCACCCCCTACTCTCCTACCTTCCATGTGAATTCTTCAAGCAAAAGTACCTTCCACGACACTGGCACACATCTTCTTCTTTTTCTTTTACGGTTCTGGCTCCTTTTCCATTCTGGGGAGCATCAGTCTGGTTCCTATTCCACCGGCAAGTCAGAAGAGATTACAAAAGAAACTCACTCACGCTCCTCCACATCATGGTTGGGAGGCCCTAGTGGACGGCATTGATTACTTCCGGAGGGAAGGATGACCACCCGTCACTCCTACCTAAGTTAGCCTGCTTGACTTACTTTTTGAAGTTGGATGCTACCGTCTTCACCCGAATAGAACGCCCGGTCATTATAGCCGTATTTGGGTGCAAGTTTCAGTCTAGGTACAGCGATAATGACCGGGCGTTGTATTCAGGTGAAGACGGTAGTAAGACTTCCACTACTCCTGTTTGCTATATGTAGCTTATCTGTGGGTGCCCTGTCTCGCTCTTTCCTCTCAGCTAATTGACTGTCGGATTTGTATTAGGTGTTGGATCTGCTAGCTTGGCTGCTTGATGTGGCACTTGCTTAAACCCTAAACCCTGGTGGCCCCTTCTTTCTGGGGTGGCCAGACCGGTTTCTGTGTCGTTGGAGATGGGATTTGGGGAGAAAGTAGCAGTTGTTGAGTCTGACTGAAAAAAATTGGAGGGGTAGCGCGGTAAAGGGGGATGTGATTGATGTGCGGCTAATGTGAGGGGGGGGATATGACCGGGTAAGGATAATTCTACTATTGCTTTGGAGATCAGAGTGACTGGAGATCAGTTCTGCTAGGGAATTATGACTGCTTTAAACCCTTAACCCTGGAGACGTCTATGGCTGTATTCTGTATCCTGGTCGTCCGATGCTCAATCCTCAGAATTCTGTGGAAGGGGGTTAGGGGTTGTGGGTAGAGGGGGTTATAAGACGAGGGCTTGATTACTCAGTGGGTGCGGTTGCGGGTGACTGTGGGATGGAAGGGATGTTAAGGTGTTTGGCTGGGGTAGCGGGGTTGTGGGATTCATTAGAGGGGAGTGGAAGGTGGGGAGGAGGGGAGGTGTGGGACGCTGGCACACATCTTATCATTGTTTGGAGGTTCTCTTCAAGATGATGACGATCTTTTAACTCCGCTGAGTCCGCTCTTAATTTGTCTCCCCTTATCCAGTCCGTGGTCTCCTTGTCGCATAGGTGCCTAATCTTCCATACCCCTTGACACACCCAGTTTAGCCATCGCTTATCCCTTTCTTGTTAGTGTGCTTATGTGATTTCCATCATCTTTCACGGGTTGTCAAATATTGGTTGTCTTAGAACCTCTTCGTTGGATCTGGGGTTAATGACCATCTTGGGGAATATTGGTCTCCAGATTTTGATTAATGTAATCCAATACAGAGTGGGTGTAGGGTGTTCTGGGAAGGAGCACCTCTCTGTCCTCTTTTCCTGCCTGTTTTCGGGTTCCACTCTTTATTCATTATCCAAAAGAGACCTGACACATTAGGGTGAGACGGTATTGGGGTCAGCTCCCTGATGCTGTTTCTCGCTAAGCTATATTCCAGGCCGTATGGTGTTGGGTGAGCAATTTAATTATTATCCATTTGGTTTGATCAGTGATTCCTAGTTCCACTCCTGTTTGTTTTTTCTTATGACGTAGGTAGTACCAGGCAATCTTGGGGATGTATGTAGTCTTGTTGTTGGGGTCTCCCGACCAAAGGTATGCCTTTTTTTCTTTGTTCAGTTCATAGATAGTGATATCTGGTGTCGTCCAGATTGATGCTACGTACCATAGCATCGAGAAGATTGAGGAGTTTGAAATTAGAGCCCTTCCAAGCAGTGAGGAAAAAGTCAGGTTCCATGTACTCATTCTGTTGAACCTGTTGATTGATTTAGTTACGATGTTTAGAGCCATTTGTGCAGCTGGACCATCTTTATTTTTACCATTATGCCCAGGTACCGTCTGACTGATCAGTGTGTCCTTTTCTTTTCATCATTCATTTTGTGTCAACTGTCCTATCCTCGGTGTTGCAGGTGGCTAATCGAAAAAAGCAAACAGCTACTAGGGCAAAGACAAATTATCCAAAGTGGAACGAGGAACTGCACTTCAAGTCTGTTAGCGCAAACTGTGACTTGCATGTGACCGTCTTCAGCCAAGAGATAAATGGCAGCGATGTGTTTCTCGGCGAGGTATTTACCACAGAAATGTCCACTCTGTTCTCCTCTCCTATTTTCTCCTGTCTTTCCCTGTTTGTTCTGCCGAGAAGAGAAATTGAGATATGGATGCGTTTCCTGTCAAGGTGTTTGCTCTTCATGCATTCCCTTAACTCAACCTTTGGGCTGAAAAAGTCGGGGGGGTCCCTGTTAACCACTTGTGCTCACTTCAGCTTTTATCATCCCCTCTGACGTCCCACACTCAGGTGAACAGGACTGCTCCCCTTTTTCATAGGGGAGCAAGTACGGTACTGATGTGTTTCCAGGTCAGGTTTCTGAAATGCACACATCTTGGTCTAGTAAGTCTGGGCTTTTGCGGACTTGAACAGCTAGCCAGACCTGTACCAGCAGTTCATTCCTTGTTCGGTCTCTGGATTGTGTCATGCAAAGGGTATTTTATTTCCCCCTATGGTGGGCAGCGTGATGCTCTGGTGTCTCCCTAAATTTCCTTTGAGGAAATAGTTCCTTTTGCTCCGAGCGGGTGTACTCTAGCAACCAATCCCTAGCGGGTGGGCACTATGTGCAATCTCCCATTCTAAGGAGGATGACTTCTCCTGTTTGTTTGCCCTTAAAATCGTTGGAGAATCTAATCCATCGTAATCTCCTGATGTCGATGCTGCCCTAACCAATCAGGTTGTTCCTGCCAAAAATCAGTTTGTAAGATGATTTAAATGTCAGGTTTTGGAAACATAGGACCGACAACTGCCCCTTTTTGCTTGCTTTTCAGATCATCATTCCAGTTATGGAGGAGGATGGAACTGTTGAAAAGGAGCCGTGCTGGTACAGCCTTGGACGCAGAAATGGCAAAGGGCGTTTCGGTGGAAGTGTGTTTCTTTCGACAGTTTGGGAGGCAACTCAGCTGGACATCCTCACTCTGGAGGTAAGAACTTGCTCTTGCTTCTTTTCCCATGCCTCAGAGATTTGTTTTTTGCCTTTATGTGATTTTATGTCCTTTGCTGACGATGTCAAGCCCGGAAATTATTCCAGCTTCCTTGAATCCTTGCCAAAATTTCCAGGCGTGTGCAACATTGCCCTTGGTTGTCAGTGACTTCAATCACCCACACCGGTAAGTAGCTCATCTCAACAAGTAACCATGGCTCAACCTGATGAAGGGAGCCTTGGCAGCATCTTCCATCATCTACCAGTTTTTTCCTCATGGATTGTGGTGTCTTACGTTTGTGTGTCTGAGGGGCAGTGGACCAAAAACGGGGGCAAAGAAGATGGAAGGAATTGTGTATGCCACTGAGTACGACGCGCCTGCGCCACCGGTTAGCGCACGCCACCAAGCGCTAGGGGCTAGCACTTAAGTGGTAGCTCCGACGCGCGGATTCTCGCCCACGCAGCAGTTCGAATTTTCGAACCGCGCCCCGCACCCTTCGACGCGGGCATCTGCCTGCAGCCCAACTTCCCACCACGTCGCGCTCCCGAGCTCCCAAGCCGCCATCGCCAGCACCAGAGGAGAGCCCTTCCACACCAGGAAACAACTTCAACTTCACGAGTGTGAAAGCCTACATCGCCAGATGTAGAGGAGCCCCCCGCCATACCTGGACGTCACGGGCCTCCAACTCGACGCTTCCGGAAGACAACGGAGGTTCCTGCACTCTCGTAGCCATCAACACGAAGCCGTCAGCGACAAGTACCAATCTCGGAGGGATGCATGCAGCCCCGTGGACAAGCTGACAGCCCGATCAGCCAGCAGCCATCACCAACGGAGGAGATCGTTCTCCACCTACGAGAAGACTCCCAACGCGTCGCATGAGCACGGTATTTCCAGACCAAGCCCGAATCTCATCCTTCCTGCGAACCTCCCCCAACCCCCCCTAACCCCCCGCTCCCTCACCCGACAACTTCGGATAACTTCCACCCTACTCCTCTATATATTGACTCCCAGCGGCCCAAACCCTGCCCTCAGGCACAATCAGTACACCACACGAGCACCCTTTACCCCCCCTGGATATCCCAGCCGCACCTGCACCCACTCAAGTAGCATCAAGATCCGCCCCTCACAGCTAGCCTCCCCTACCCGCCCTGATCCAAGCCCTATCACACCGTCTCCTCCCCCCCCCCCCGGCCACGGCAACAACAGCCGGATAAAGCTCACCGTAAGGTCACATCATCCCGCAACCCATCTCCTGCCGACAGCGCCTCACTTTTTCCCACCTCTGCTGCACTTACACACACTCCGTCTGTGGCATACTGGGTAGCCACACGGGCCTACAGGGCCCGTCCCGGACATTCAGCCTAAAAGCCTAAAACTTAGGGCTTACAGGCCCCGTTCATTTCAGCCTGAATGCTGAAAAACGAGGGCCTGCAGGCCCTACCTCGTTTCAGCCTATTTCTGGGTCTTTGCAGACCCAGAGTTTCAGCCTGAAACGGAGGGCCATTTTCAGGCCCTCATTATTTCGACCTGCCCCTAAGACTCAGGCACGGAAACAGGAATGTGGAACAGGCCCAAAATAGCCTGTTCCTCACATGCTCGAGCAGGAGCTGCAGCTGCAGCCCCTGCCTTCCGTCGGCAGGCTCAAGAGGCACACCCGYAGTACATAGGAAGACCCATGCACTTCACGGGTAGTCAGTAGTCAGTAGGGGAGGTAGTCTTCAGGATTCGGCCGCAGCACTCAGGAGGAGCGCTGCAGTAGTCTCCAGCGCTAGGCCGTAGTGGTAGAGTTAGCTGTAGTCTTCGGCGCTGGGCGCCATAGCTGAGCGGTAGTCTTCAGCGCTGGGCGCTGGTAGGAGGTAGGTCGTAGAGTGGAGAGAGGCTGGCGGAGGCCAGCGTTACTTACCTGTGGCGCCATCGCTCCAGCTCCATCTTCGTGGTACCTGCATCAAGGCGCCAACTTCACAGGTTAGTACTGGACACACAGAGAGAGAGAGAGAGTTCTTCTTCTTCCTCTTCTAAGTCCACCTTCTCTTCTCACCCTCTCGCCACCTGACTTCTCAGACTACGACAGAGAGAGACRGAGTTGTGACTTGAGACTTGACGACTTTGGATCCAGACTTGACATTTGGGATTCAGACAGTTCGACGAGGGATTATTTGGGCTTGTGCCAAAGACTTGGTGTTAACGACATTCCCATCTTCCCCCTCCTCTTCGTCCATCCCCTTCCTCCTCGTCTGTGCATGTTCTGGGCTGGCGCTGTCTTCCTGTGTGAAGCGCCAGACCCATTCACACTATGAAACGATGATGATGATGTATGTTCAGGGCTGCATTACAACATTGATTGTTCGGATCACTGGTATCTAAGTCTTCCGCTGTGCTATCTTATACTTGTATTGAAAGGTCGGTTCTTGTTCTGGTCTGCACCTATACGGTATGCAACAGTTTGGTATTGGAGCGGACCTCTCATACAGAGGACCCACTCAATCAAGTAGCCAGCTTGCGATCTATTGATCACTCATTAGTAAAGCAAGTAGGACTTGGTCAAATCTCTGAAAAAAAAATTCTCGCAACAACTATCTGAACTTTCTGATATTCGCATTTCGTTCTATCTGAAAATTTCTGGTATTAGTAGTTCGTTTTTACGTAACAAATATCTGAAAATTTCTGATAAATCGCATTTCGTTTTGTCTGAAAATTCCCGATAGTAGCATTTCCTTTCTCTGATATTTCGCATACATAGCAGAAATTTCTGAAGTTAGTATTTTCGTTCTCTAGGCATATTGGGATAACGATAGAAGTGGTCATATTCTCGGAAACTGAAA